GACACAGTCTTTTTAAGCAACCCAGGAAAGAGTAGGGGTGAACAGTAAAGAGGAATATGTGAGATGCACGAGTTGACAAAATATAAGATGAGGAGTTGAGTTATGCCTGAGTGCCTTAACTTCTTAATGTGTAAAGTCAGACGGAATATTTGTTTAAAAACTGCTACGACATGAGAAGACCAGGATAAATCAGAAGGTGGAATTAGTTCAAAATATTTAACTTCTGACATGACCTCTCTATCACTCTCATTAATTGTACAACGGTCATAGGAATTAACGGCTTCATTTAACTTTCTTTTACATAGGAAACTGAAATCAACAGTCCAACGTTTGGAAGGATTTAGTTCAAGAGCATTGAAGGAAGACTATTTGCGGACTCCTGATAGAACGTTGTTCATCTTAGTACAGTCTAGCTGGTAGTTGGCAGGCAGTGAAACAGTTAGATCGTCCGCATACTTAACAAAGTTCATTTCATCAGAGTGAGGCAAGTCATACAAGAGGAAAGGAAACGGAAGAGGAGAAAGAGCAGTGCCTCGAGGGACACCAGCCTTAGTAGGCAATGAGGTGGACGACTTCTCCTGACATACAATGTGCTTCTCTTTTCCTGAGAAATAGGAATGCACCCAGTTGACATCCTAACACTCAGTTCGAGTTTCAGCAAGCTTGTTTCACGAAATAACCCCAGGTGCTGAGTCAAAAGCAGATGTGTAGTCTAGGAAGGCGCATCGAACCAATTAACCCCCTTTGTCTAAACTGGAGGCGTTGTTATGATGCAAGACTACAGCTGCGTCTAAATTACTTCTACTATGTTTGCAGGTGAGTTGTTTGGAATCGTTAAAGGCTTCAACTGAAGGTTCAAGACCAATTAGGGACAACTTCTCCGTAGATTTTAGAAAAGGAGAGGTTACAGCAATGGGTGTAAATTTTATGCATATTCCAGTCGATGACTTAGGTATAGGTGCAGTTTTAATCTCCTTCCGAACGGCTGGCACGACATTTCTGGAAAAAAGGTTCATTAAGTAGGTCAGTGAGAGGATAACATAAGATATCTGCGTGATTTTTAAGAATAAAGCTAGGCACGCCATCTGAACCTAGTCTGCGAGAAGGGTTCAGCGACTAGAGACATTTTAGAACATCATTTGTATTGAAACCAGCAAAGCAGCTTCCATTAACACTTGTGACATCAGAAGCTTAGCATTTGCAGCAGAATGTATTAAAGACTTGTTTAGGGTATACACACCAAATGAATAAGGAATACAGTTCATCTGCCTACCACCAGTAGTTTATTCGAAAAGTTTCCATATATTAGAGGCGTTCTGCAGAATATAAACTTCTGGTTATAAATTGAATTCAACCTCCGAATTTCAGACTTGATTAGGATGTTAATTTCTTTTTCCCTGAGAAGCTTTTAATGCTGAGGGGAGGGCAGAAACGTCCTGATCTGATCAAAAGTGTTTCTCTGAGACAACAGACGTCAGAACAACATGTGAGATATAATGTAATATTTGAGATAGTGGCATCAAGGGAGTCTTCACTAAACAAGTCCCACCTTGTATCATTGAGCATACCTGTAAAATTCTGATTATTCTCCTTAGATTGACATTCATATACAATTTTCCTGTACAGGTGTTAGAGGTTTCTCTTATGTAATTTTCCATAAATTTCGGGTAAAACCCCTACAGTACATTGATCGGAGTTAAGTAGCAGGGCTCCTTTACGAGCTTCTTATATTCTGTAGTCACTTCTAAATGCAAGACCAAGCGAAATATCCAATCGAGTAGGAAGATTAATGACATTTTGCATGAGTAGCATTGTAGGAGAACTGAAGTCACAAGAATTAGAATCGCCCGTCACTACTGACAATGAGTTGTTGGAAGAGGCGGCAGCGAAAACAGTGTATTCATCAGCAAACATGGATAGTTCTGAAGTAGTATGACAGGATGTGACATATATGTTAGCGACAAAATTGAAGTTGTAATTATGCAGGTACTCAAGTTGACACTTAAGGTATATAGCGAAAGTTTTTGCTTGGGAATTTAAAGCAGACGTTTTTAACAGTAGACCACTGAGAATTGATAAAGGAAGAGACATCACCACCTCGCAATTACCTAGAACTGCGTCAGTCTTCTTTGAACATGGTGTGACCATTTAGGGAGGAAAAAATTGTTATTATATGAATCATGGTGTCAAGTGTGTAAGATGAACGCGACATTATCTTCTGCATTTAAGTATAATACAGGTGTATTATTGCCTCTGAAAACTTCACTCAGGAAGAGAGCGGCACACTGTATGTCAGGAGAAGTCGTCCACCTCATTGCCTACTAAGGCTGGTGTCCCTCGAGGCACTGCTCTTTCTCCTCTTCCGTTTCCTTTCCTCTTGTATGACTTGCCTCACTCTGATGAAATGAACTTTGTTAAGTATGCGGACGATCTAACTGTTTCACTGCCTGCCAACTACCAGCTAGACTGTACTAAGATGAACAACGTTCTATCAGGAGTCCGCAAATAGTCTTCCTTCAATGCTCTTGAACTAAATCCTTCCAAACGTTGGACTGTTGATTTCAGTTTCCTATGTAAAAGAAAGTTAAATGAAGCCGTTAATTCCTATGACCGTTGTACAATTAATGAGAGTGATAGAGAGGTCATGTCAGAAGTTAAATATTTTGAACTAATTCCACCTTCTGATTTATCCTGGTCTTCTCATGTCGTAGCAGTTTTTAAACAAATATTCCGTCTGACTTTACACATTAAGAAGTTAAGGCACTCAGGCATAACTCAACTCCTCATCTTATATTTTGTCAACTCGTGCATCTCACCTATTCCTCTTTACTGTTCACCCCTACTCTTTCCTGGGTTGCTTAAAAAGACTGTGTCATACTTCGTAGGACTCTGGAGACTGTCAGTAGGGCGAGTGGTATCCCATTGGGCTATATCGTTGACATCGTCATTGATAAGCACTTGATTTCATGCAAGAAATTTGCTAGAGATTTTGCCAGACTGTGAGCATCCACTTTGCTTACCCACAGCTCTTACCTTGTGTCTCCTCAGGTAAAACAATAACTCATTTCAAAGGACTTTATGCGCGCACGTCTAAGAATAATAGTTTCACGATACCATATTTGGCATGTATTTTATTTGATGAAAATAGTATCAGGGAGAAACTGACTAAACTTCTTTGCACTAATAAATAAAGCATTTTCTCCATCCTCATCCCATCAAGCTTTACTGTTACTCTTCTTATATTTATAATCGTTTTGTTTATTTTCTCATAAGTGTAAACACCATTTAATCTCTGTAATAATTGTTATGTTTTGTTTTCCCCTCACTATGCTATGCCAAGCGAACATTGGATTCAATACTCTATAACATGCTCAGATTTCCAAACTGAGCCGACAATACTGTTTGAAACAAACCCATTGTTGTTATTATTCTCAATTCGTGCTTAGCACATTTTTGACTTTGCTCCTACCGTAAATGTGGACAAGTTCCTGTGGTTAATTTTATTTGTATTTTGAGTAAGTTAGATGCAATATTGAGACAAATGATGAGAATTCCATTCTGTATTATAAGTACTGTGCTTGGAACAAAGCAGTTCATAATCACTTTACTATTATTGTTATTGTTATTGATTTTCACTGAATATACCTGTCATCCTGCTTACTATACTTTTCTGATTCTATTTGAGTGAAAATAAACTCGTTATCATGACGGGATGACGGCCTGACCTATTATTTTTATTTATTTTTTTTGATTACAGCTTGATTCCACACTGTATTTTTGGTACAAGTATGGAATTTTCAGCGTGGATATCGGTAGCCCGAAATTCGCAGTCCGACCATAGATATCAGGTGTGCGTCGGCGTGGGCTGGAACCCCGGATCATGTGCATGGTTGGCGAGAGTCCTAACCACTGTTCCACCTGAAGAAGTAATCGGTGGTGTAATTCAGTTTAAGTGAAGGAGTGCTGCGATTGTTACAGCTCCACTTGCTTACTTATTCGTCTCGTGTAAATGTCATGTTGAATCAGACATCAACACTCGTGATCATATGGACACATTGACATCACGCTTTAACTGAAATAATAATAACATACTCCTTTTGAATACACCTAATTTATGACGAGATCACACTCTGCCATAGTGCCTAAGCTCCATTCTTACGTTTGAATACATAGGTTAAGTCGTTTGTCATTGATCCCTATAGATTCAGCTATGGCTAGGAGAAGTAATCGCGTTACTTTAGGCAGATGTGTAGGCTTGACCTAAGTCCTTACAAGTCATCACCTGCAGTAATTGATAGTGTTCGAAGAGAATTACACCGAGGTATAGTAACAAGTTCATATCCTAGATAGCACCAGTCTAACATGCCGTGAGCTCGCCACAAGATTATGAGGTAGAACACAAGAATACTAGAACAAACATTTTTACTTCAGTACAGTGTAAATGAGGCTTATTTGCATATGTGGACTGAGAACAGTCCAAAATGAAAGCTTTTGTCTAGGAAGTATCTCCCATTATTCCACAGAAAACGTCCAGCACCCAAATTGTTTCACTTTCAAATTCTTTTCTAATTAAGGCAGGCAATTGGACGCCCACATCCTAAGTTGTCCGGTATACAACACTGGAGAAAGAACACCTGCATGGTTACTAGTGAGCGAGTCAACTTTATTTCCCATGTTGTCGTTGTTGTACGTAGAATCAATTCTCACAACTGATTATAAAAATCTATTTGGCGATAAGTCATAAAATCACACATAACATCATCACAGTCACACGCTGAACAACACTCACTGACTAACTCACTCATCCCCTCACAGTTGGCTATTCGGATTTCAAACTGTTGATTTTCACAACAACGACCACTAACTGATCTCTCATCATTTGCACAATAACAAACATTACCACACAGATTCCCTCACCCCACTTTGCATCATCCTGTCACTCGACGAAGACATCTGAGAGTAGAAGGGAAGCAGAAGTAGAGGAAGAAGATGAAGACCTGGTGCAACAAATATATATTCGGAAGTGTATTTTAGAGAACACGTGAAATTACAAATGTAATAATAGTGCATGTAAAATCAAGTGGAAATGAGTTGTTAGTTTTGGGTAATGACAAATTATTACTAGTGATACTGGGGTGGCGCAGACGAATTAATTATTTGTGCATAGCGATTTGCATGGATTGCCAACGATCAGTATGTTATCCAGACGAATAATCAAGACGTTTCGCACTTGGATATTTAATATTCTATTCAACAAAATGAAACACGGGGTGAACACAGTTAGGCGAATAATATATATATATATATATATATATATATATATGTATAATATCGATAAAATTAGTTCGAGCGAACAAGTATTTCAATAAATTCTTCTCTATGGTCTACAGTTATATATCTAATGTGCTAGGATACGATAGTCAGTGAAGGCAAAACAAATTCATATCTGAAACTGTATTACGGTATAAGTGTATGATGGAGTGATATATATTTGTTATTTGTCATCCTCCAAACTCACCCTCAGCATAACATTCTTGTTTGTCTATTTTTCTGAAGTATTCATATTTCTCTCATACCACTGAATATAACTCAACCCACAGGACTTATATTTTTGTTCGTCACAAAGGAACAAGCAGGTCGCCCAACTGTTTACTCACATTCGATCTTCTGTTCTTCTGGCTGTACATTTCATATTCATTCAAATGTTATTCATAGCCAACAGACTATTACTTCATCTTGTGCTTTTATTCTAATACACCTTCCAACATAGTATTGATTTACCCTCGCTGAATATTGCATTCATGGATATACAATTGTAAGGCGTGAGGAAGAAGTTATCGAAAACAATTGTTCGTTCGAATTATTCTTCTTCTGAATACACAACGGGAGTGTTTGAATTACTGATCAAATTGTATGCGCTTCTGCAGAGTAAGCGAAGGGACGATATATCTATGTATATAAACATGTGATTTGCGAGATACATTTTCCCATCATATGTATATTTCTAATTTTATTTATTCATTTAATTCCGTGTGCGTTCCGGGTGGAACTTAGGGCTTCAAAGTTCAGTTTTGAGGTTTCAGTAGCAGTGATGTTTTTGAGGGATGGGATTGCTAACCCCACGTTCACCCTCCCCTCTTTGTCGAGGTTACAACCGACTAGGTGAGGCAAAGGTGTTCGCCGGCCGTGGATCGAACTCGGACCACATGCATGGTTGGCGAACATCCTACTGCTGAGCTACCGAGCACCATATTTCCTGTACTGCAATGTAACTCTGAAATGTTCTCAGTAAATTGAAAGTCAGTTGATGGGCTGCATGATCAGTGAGTATTGCTTTACATTCCGGAAGGCACAGAGTTCACGAAACCTCCTGTCAGCCAATCAGATATTGCCTGTAACCAATCTGCAATGTCATCCAGTTGTCAAGGTCTTCGTCTCTCACATAATCTACACAATGGTAAAAGTAGTGTAAGGTAAAGAAGGCGGAGGATGTAAACGCAGTGACGTGGTCGAAATTCATAGGAGACCATGAGAAAAATATGTAGTTGTAAGGAGACTGAAACAATGCAAATCCATTGTATATATATTGACAATGATGTGAAAATATCTCTACGGAGGTGGTCTGCCCTGGGCTATATCACATAGATTATTCAACCAAGAGTTTCTGACACGAGTATAGGGTCGATGTAATCAACGGACTTACGACGAAATACTATTAACAAGGGATTTCCACTGTCGGCTATTTGGCGAAGCCTTTCAAACACGATGAATTTAAGTTAAATTAGACTGGTCAATATAAAGTTGACATTATTTGACACACGAATAAATAATAGGTTTGGACCGAACAATGTTGTTTCGTCTTATCAACTTCTCGAACGCAAATTTTGCAGTGAGCATCACTCCGAAATTACAATGTTATACCATTTTCTCTTCTACTTTGCATTTACAATAATGCTTGGATTACATTCGCCTGTTGTTGTCGACGGGTTCACTGAAACTCCACCTGTGGGAACGATGTGCTGTACACTCTTTTAGAAGTGAAATTAGCCATCTTTTTCACGTTTGAATTCTTCATTCATTTATCCAGCCATGTGCACTGGTGAACTACACTGATAAGTGTCTACAGCCTCTAGGTTAGACAAGTGCTAACTGCCAAAGAAAAAGCATTTTTCGCCCCTTGGCCACCGATTATTTCCCGTAGTCATAAGTGTGTTGAGCATAATTAATCCATGGAATGTGTTACGTTGCACCTAAACTATGTGACGTGATGTTATGTTATGTTTCCCAAATATATATTTTACTTCCTTTGTAGTTATTATCAGACGTGCGGGAGAAACCAAATCCTGGATGGATTATTATCATTGTTGTTATTGTTTCCTTTAGTTCCTAGAAGAACATTGGACTTCAGCCGCACGTCTCCATTGCGTTCGGTTCTCTACCAACGTTTTCACCTGGCTTCACGTCTGCCCACATTTTTTCATCTCCTCTTCACATAAGCTCCTCCAAGTCACCCTTGCACTGACGACCAACTCGCCGCTTTCCCTTCAGGTTTCACTCGAGAAAGAGCCCGTCATGTGATGTCACTCGGTGGCTTGTTTTCTCAGATTATGGTCAATCCGCCTCCTTTTCTTCCTGCCTATTTGTTGTAAAATCTGTTTCTGGTTTGTTCGCTCCCACAGATCCCTGTTGCTGATCTTTTCTGGCCATCTGATCTTGAGTAGTATTGAGCGAAGACAGCCGTTGATGAAGGTCTGTAGTTTTTTTGAGGTGTTCTTCATAACGCTCCAAGTCTCTGATCCGTGCAGCAGAACTAACTTCACATTGGACTTGAAAATCCGGATCTTATTTTCGATGCTGAATGCTGTCGACCTCCACACAGACTTGGGAGTAATGAAGGCTTGCGTTGATTTCCCGATCCTCGCCTTGATATCCTCATCAGTTCCGTCCATCTGTAGTTGGAACAATGTTTCCCAGGTAGGTAAAGGAGGTTGCTTCTTTGAAATTCCCCCCATTAATGCTGGCTGATTGTTGTCTGTGGCTGTTACTGTGGATCAGGAATCTCCATCACCTGTGTTTTCTCTATGTTCACTTGAAGTCCTATCTGCTCTGGAGGCTTCTTCTGAGAACTTGTCGCTTTTCAATTGCATATCATCCATTTTGTGGAAAATCAGACAAATAATATCGACGAAGTGCAGATCCTCCAAGTATTTTGTGTGGGTCTATTTTGTGCCTGTTTTCTCGCTGCCTGCTGTCTGTCTGTCTGTCTGTCTTCCTGTCGCATTATCCAGTCTACTGCAATCAGGAAAACCATCGGAGATAGCAGGCAGCCAGCTTGTCTTACTCCCGTTTTTCCTTTTGAAGGATTCTGTGAGTTTCCCGTTGTGTGTTATTTGGCATGCAGCATTGTCGTACAACTGTTGGATGAGATGCATAGTTGTTGGCAGCAATTATACATCTGAAAAATTAGGCGTCAGGTTCAATCAAAGTGGCATAGTTTAACTCCATGTTTCTTTGTTTATTATGTGTGGTGTGCAATGATGCAGCACTATTCATTTTGCGCTATTTCAAAAACTAACACAGCACCATGAAATCCCTGTTGTTCTTATTATCTGAATGCCGTAGTTGTACAACAACAAACATGAAACACAATTTCATGGTTTTCCACCGATCGAGTTTCGTCATCGTGAACAATTATTATTACCCACAAAGCTTTACTAACAAATATGGCAAGAGTGGACATCAGAAACCTGATGCAGCTACGGCCAACAGCGAGCTGGTTTCCATCGATCTCGACTTTATAGGTGATGATATTATACGAGTCATAAATTAAAGATAAGCAAAGCCCTGCAGCAAAACAAGTCTCTCTACTCTGAACATCCTCCTCGCTGGTTCAGTCAGAGATCTACAAGTACCCCCATATATTACCTGCCAGTGTGCATACCAATTCACATGTATGTGTGGGAGCAGTTACACTGGAAGAACAGAAAGAAGTGCTTATGTCAGATTCTTCGAACATGTACCAAAGAGCTTCCGGTTAAAGGGGCCAAACAGTTTAAGCTCTCCAATCACCCAACACACGATAGACACAAGACACTGAGCAGACGCGCTGGAATCATCCAAAGTAATTGACAGACAAAATAGCTCAAGTCTTCTTCGGTTTGATGAGGCGATCTCAATAAAACGGCTGACACCTGACCTGTGTGTCGAAGAGGAATCTATCGTTGGATTTCAGTTACCCCAGTGACTCATTCCCTAGTAGCTCTTTGTTCTCACTCTCTTCCTCCCTCCTCTTTGACCGTCTGACTTCCATAAGAGTTAGTTTTCCTGACCTACTGAGTTCCACTCACCTTATTACATCATCATCTTTTCATCTGACCTCTTGTACACCACATTTTGACCGTCTCTCACCTAACTACGTAACTGTTACTAATTCTTGTTTCCATCCAAGTTTAAGGTTGTCATATTGATATGGATTTGATTTATTTCCATGAGAATTTCGGGACTCGTTAAACTTGATCACACAACCTAGAGTCAATAACGGTGGAAACAAACGTCATCAAGCACTAATTCAATGAATGTGTTGGGCGAATAGTCTCTCTTTTGAATAGTATGCATAGTTCTGGTAGTAAACATGAGTGACTGGTCCACTCATGTCCTAAATTTTAACTGGCTAAGTAGTTCAGTGAAGTGTAAATGAACCAGAATACTCTATGACTGACACCGAATGTGTGCAATATCATTAAGTGACTGTTATAAAACGAAATATAACTCAAATTTCAAGCAAACGATAATTATATGTGATGAAAAACAGCATATTTACTGGATTCAACTAGTCAAAAACACTACATAATAACATGAGGAAATCAGTGTATATGACTTACGCGCATGCAGCTCGAATTTCGGAGTTGTGAAGACACGTATTTCCTTGTCCACACAATTTGGAAATGCATACACACTGTACCTCTGGCCGTTGGTTAAGTATGGGATTCTAATCTCTTCTCCCTTAGCTAGTTGCATGATTGTCTTATCGCCGAATAGGAAGAACACCAATTCCTTGTCCTTGCAATCGTTGTAGTTTTGAAGTGTCCAACGTAAGACGACACTTTGGCCATGGGGAGCTGCTGTGTGCAGGTTTGTGATTGCCGGAGCGTCTACAATGAACAACGTCAAAAACTAAAAATAGAAACTTTTGCCCAGTGAACTCGCTACTCGTCTGTGCAATATGCTTCAATGATAAACAGTGAAGAGAATGAATAAAATTATTCAGTACATCTTACCCAATGATTTCCGGATATCCTCAGTATAGATCTGTTGGAATTCTTTATTGCTCGTCGCTCTACTAAACATTGTAAATCGAAGCCTCACTTCTCGACACATAGGGATGTTACACAATTTCACGGAGCTTGAGTTGCTCGTCGCCTTGTTATTCGGTGATTCGGCCAACTCCAATATAAGCTTGTATTCATGGCTAGGATTCTTGCTCGTATCCACCTCAACAGTGGCACAGTCACGGAGGTATGATCTGGTGACGTCTGACTTACTTACATCAGCTGAACAACCGGAATATCCATTGGACGACATGAAATGGAAAGTGAAAGAAGAGAGTTACATTTCAAGTACCATCCTGACAATATGCTGATTGACAACGTCAAACAATTGAAATCTGTCAATAACCATGAAACATTGTATTTCGATGAAGCTTCTCCGACAGAGGCTATTTAGACCTGTCAAGTGTACGAGTGCTCTTACAATTCCGATCTGCATCACTATTAATGCCAGTAGTAGTAATTTCAAAAAGGATTGCGTGTTTCGGCAGAATGATTGGAAGTGTAGGTAGGACGGATTACGTACTCAACCAGACGACTACAAATGAGTGCGTGTAGTAATTCTAAGGCAGAATTATTCACCTCCAACGAAGCTCACTCACAGTTTCGTTTTACAGCTCCATGAAACGAATGCAGCATTGTGCATATTTCCAGCATCATTTCGAAGCCTCTTCCGTCTGTCTGAGTCTTCATAGTGGGAGTCTACTTCGTGCGCTTCGAAACAAAGATTGTATTTGTGAAGGTATACACTTCATCCGTACTGCAGGAGAACTACATCTAGCAATTATGACTTCTCTAGCTACTTACTTAGTTTACTTACACGTACTCACCACAACCTCTCCATCTCAATCCTAACTCCTTTTCATCCTGAGAGAGTGAATAACAAACATATCGGACTCAATGTGATGCATGCAAATGAGGCAAGACACACAAGTGGGGAGAACCTCATCACCTCTGCACACTGAAAATAACCTCCCAATCAGTACAATATTTTCACGACGAATGGAACATCATCAATTGATTGTGTTTAATTTTACAGAAAGAGAAGAAAAAGAGAAAAAGGAATTACCTTGGACAGTGGTTGTCAAAATGACCGGAATCAGACTGATGCACAAGGCTATAATCATATTGAATGATGGGTGTATTGTATTATAGTGTCTTCTATGACTTCGGACAACTAGTTAGTCCATGCAACCGTTTATATAATTTTCTGAAATTGTAGTTTTCTCTTTGACCAATCAATTAGTTGTTGTGCGTCAAAGTCATATTTTGCGATATTCTTCTTGTTCCATAGGGGCCAGTTCACTTCACCTTCAAACTACAATATTATCTGAATCATTTTATTGGTTGTTGGAGATATTGAATTACATCAGATAGAACTGATGCTGACCAGCATGGACACTAGGGGAATTTCGATGTCTTCATACAACTGTATTTGTAGGTGTATATGAAGACAGCAAGAATTATTCAAAAAATTATGGCAGTCCCTTTCCTTGAATTCTGTGTATGATCGAATATGCATACATTCATTCCCCTTTATGAATTTGAATAAAGCAAGAACAGCAGTTCGTGCAGTCACAACATCCAATTGGTGTGTAGTATTTCGTCCTCCACATTTATTGTTGTTCTTCAGTTTGTTTCTCACCACTCTTTGTGACTGCATGTTATCGAACGTATACACATAGCTAAACTATAATTTAAGAAATCTTTTGATCGTTATTTGATAATTCTTCTCTCCGTAATATGTTGACACCGCGATTCGACGTCGCTGAGAAGATGCAACCGTGATTCTCAGGAAACATGTCTTCCACAAGTCGTGATACTGGCTATCTCTTCGAAATGGACAACCTTAGGTTATTAATTATATCTTAGACCTTGTGAGCTATGCTCTTCTGACGTGTCTATGTTCACAAGATGATCACAGCAGTCAGCATTCCATGTGAGCTGGACTGTAAGTAATGTGTGATATCCAGTGAATCTTATTCACGAGAAAAGTGATTGGAATACTTTCTGATCTATCACTGCACACTGATGAATGGTTCCCCCATTATTTCTGTCCCAAATATACAACTATTGGTACTGCGTCGTCTTATGCAGAATTGATCAATGGATTGACAAACTGCTATAGAACTTTTACCTGAACCGTTAACACACACTTTCTTACGCCTATTGTAATAAATGCGAAGAAATATTGTCGGGAAATATAGGCTTATAGCTGAGTGAAACAAAACAATATCAATGTATAGAAATGTAACTGGTACATCAAATCTGCATGGGAATAGGATGAAATGGCCAGTTGCTCTTGTCTTCGAAAATATAACTTCAAGTTCGGGATCACGCAGGCTCCTTTTTATCCTCTGATGTCTAAGAAGCATTAGCTGGTGGATTTTCAAATGGCTCACTATAGCGACATTGCCTACGTTCATTTGTATTGGGTGGACTTGATTATTTGAAAGGGAGTATATTGCAGTGGCACACTTTTTATGCGTTGAATGGCGTTCAAAAGAAAGTCTATTCCACAACTACGAGTCGCGAACATTTCAACGCTTCATTTCTACTGTTCCGTCATTGCTTACTTTCTGGTTATACTGCTTACTGTGTTTAGCATACAAGTGGAATTCATGCTTACTAATTTATTTCACTCATATTTGGTACTGATGTAGTTAAACAGAAGAGATAACTTTATCACTGCTACAAGAAAAATTGAAAGCCTTTATTTGGTACCCATAAATCTTTATTCTAAACATTAAGTTAGTTACTGAGACCATTGATTGTGCGACAGTTGTAACTGGCTAACGCAAACGATATACTGAGGATTGTTTAGTCTGCATTGAAGGATTAAACGATCAGGAACAAACATTACTCTCTCTCTCCCTCTCGCCATATATATATATATATATATGCGTCGGTGGTATAGCGGTTAGCACGCTCGCCGACCATGCATATGGTCCGGGTTCGATCCCCGGCCGGCGCACTCCTTTACCTCACTGAGTCAGAAATAATGCTGGTAAAGAGGGAAGGTTGGGCATGAGGCTAGCGACCTCATCCTGTAAAAATTAAACACTGCTACAGAAACTTCAAGCCACTAGCTTGGAGCCCTATATTCCACTGGGAACGTGAAAGAAAAATTATTATTATATATATATATATATATATATATATATATCACTATTGCATATTTCGAAGATGCATTCGGATTCGTTTGCATCTCATATTTGATTCAGAGACTAATAGCAAATTTCTTGACCTTGTGTCTTCTGTCTTCCACTTTATTGTCCTACATGCTGTTGGTGTGTGTTAGTCAGGATACTTGAATACAAGAGACATATACTGTTCGATTGCTGCTCTCTTCTCACCTGTGTAGACATCTGCGACTCAGTTAGAAGCTATCAGAAGAAATTCCCATGACACACAGAACTGTTCTGTCTAAAACTAGCGTTTTAGTGCATTTTACATTGCCACATAAATTGGTTGGAAGTCAGTGAATGGAAAAGCGCTTACGTTTTTGTAGAGTTGATACAACAACCTTATAAAAGTGACCGAAAGTAGACTGACTGTAGTGACTTATTTCTCGTGAACAACCACACGGCCCAACACTCCAGCCATTTTATGACAGAAACAAATACATAAGTTCTAAGCCTTTTAAACAAGACGTGTTCTATAGGCTTCAAGCGACCGTTTCTTCAACCCTCCAGTCTCACAGTAAGAATAATCCTTCTACTATCATAGTTATGCAAGACAGTAGATGACTTAGATAAAATGTGAAGCCATCAGCGACAGACGAATTCCGATTAATCTACATGTCTCCCTTGGTCTACACTACCTCTTCATTGTAATAAAGTTACACTTCTGGAAATACTGTGTTGCTTGAATGTTTATTGTCACTTGTTTCTGTTGCATTATGCAAGTACTCTCACGGACCACGAACAAAGATAAAATGATAAGCGAGGGGGTTGTTATTTATAGACCCGTAATCACCAGTCCCTTAACAAGTGCGGTTCCAGTGTTTCTCCTAACGCTTTAACTGCCTTGGAAAGCTGTCAGCAGCGAATAGCACAGCCACATCATAGCGATTCACGACACGCCATCTAATGTGCTTGTCACCTTCAGGTATCACCATCTAACTTTGCTAGCATCTGATGTATTACTGAATGACTATTATGGAACTGTGAGAGTCTCTTTGAAAATGCGCCCCAAATTTTTGCATTAGAAAAATTGGGATAGTTCAATTTGCAAGTTTCTTTGATAATAACTACGGTGAAATTGACTCATATAAGTGAGTTGCTTTTATGAGGTACAAATGCCGATCAAGTTGTGACAACTCAGACTACACCATCCAGATAGTCTAGTGAACCTGACAAGTCACACTATGAATGTTTACGGCTTGGCATCGTGGAGTAGTTAGTTATATTGGAGTCGTAAACACTTGAGAAACAGAATAGTTAATTTGTATGACAGTTGTGAAATTTCACTGCTATGTAAGAGCACTGGTATACTAAGAGACAATTAAGCCAATCGAACGAGTAGATGCCAACAGACTGAGAGGAATGTTTACTCAGACTACATTGCAGAAATGTATTCAGCGTATCTGTCCAACAGAAGAGCTCACGTGTTTCGTCAACCAGAAAAGTGGTGGTTAGTAGCCTCATCGTTGTTATGCATGCCGTACTTCCGTGTCACTTTGGATCAGTTTCCTCATTTACGTCTATTAGATAGTCTCAACATGAGGGTCTCCAACACGACAGAGTGAGAAGTAGAATTCTAACTCATTATAAGAGAGCGTTTACTTAGTTAAGTTCTGAGCAGATGTGCACTGCTTCTCTCTTCTAAACTGACATAGCACATATCCTTGAAAGTCTGGAATTTCTTGTTTGTTTTAGTAAGGTCAAGGTATGACTACCGTGAGTATATTTGCCGCTTAGTTGATGTGTACTTGATTTCAGTAAGCTGTATAGTTCCTTGGACAACTTCACATTCAATAATGTTCATTCCTCAGACAAATGTGTGACCAATAGGCTAGTAGAGATCAGAACATGCTGACCCTATCGATACGAAATTTGAAATGATCAGAAGCCAATAATTATTTAGTAGAAGTAAGGATATAACTAATATTTTTGTTTCTTGTGTGAGCATAGAATAGGATGGCTGTTATAAACGTTTGTTGAGGAACGTTTATTTATATATATATTTTATGTTAACTTCAAACTGGGGCTCATTCAAGCCACCAACTATCTTAAACATTAGCGTAGACTGTCAAGCCGATATTTTAAATTAGATAACATTTTGATGGCAGGTTGTAAGAGGTAGTAAATTCTAAGTGAAATGAAAATACCTAGGAACAAATGTTAGCGACATCCGTATTGTCAACGAGGCTTCCAGAAACTCATCCTCAGTAGAAGTAACTGAAAGAAGCAGAGATTTAAATGGGATGTTTCAAAGATTCTAAGTACAGATTTCTCTAATATATATGCGAATTTATAGCCATGTGGATGAATGTATTGTCTCTGTGGCACTTGTTTTCCATGCGAAATACTGTTGTTGCACAATTAGGTTAGTTAGTAAACTCCTACATCCATATGCAGGACAAGTATCAGGTTATTGTGTCTGCTTCACTGGGGCTTAGTGGTGTCAAGTCTGTGTAGGAGTCACTCTGTCTTTACAATTAATAGGAAACATATGAAACGATTTACACGCCTTAACATCCTACTCGTCTGTTTAAACTGAATAAGTGCATTTTCATCAACATGGGTAACTCGTTTTGCGTCATTGATGGTGCTAACTTCCCGGACCTCGTAAGTGTAGATTGTAAGTAATATTTCATGCAACTTCTGATTTGTAAACATACTCTGCTTGTTACACACAGACATGACATATACAACAGCTACTGATATGATGAACACAGACTTGGCTACTAATCGTTCAATCCCAGACAAGTTTAATAATCCTTAACACTTTCCTCATATCTCGACCTAATGGAAGACTGGTTTCAAATGCTAGCATAGCATTGGCATTTGGAATTGGCTACTTCACATTCGCAATGTGGTCAGAAAGCCAGGAAACTCTTCGCCACATTCTTTGTTTGTCTGAGGATAACTTATCGGGTTAGAGACAGATACACAGCCCGAAC